TGTTTATTATTAATGTAGTGTCGTGTGCTCCTTCGATTGGCATTCATGAAAACCATTCACACTACACACTGTCGTTATCACCCCCTTGACCCTTTTGTTGGGAATTTTGACCATAGTCTGTCATATTCTTACGTAGTCCTTCCCTGGGTTATATCGAAGTCTCCCTCTTGCCCCGTCAAATCCGTCTGCTATCTTCCTGATACATGTATTTCACTCGACCTCTGCCCCCTATCTGTGCTATTCGGTGCATAATTCGTCCATCCCTTGCACTTGGGCGATTAATTAGAGGCTAAAGCCTCAGAGCAAGTGTCATGGTCATGCCTTTGCTAAATGGACGACATCTCTTATAAAACCTACTGTCAGCCAACTAGCTCCAACCGCCGCCTCGTCTATCCTGTCTCTATTCCTAATACCAAGTATATGACTTGCCATGCCCTAATTGCTTTTATGCCAACCCACAAATGTTGTGGTAATGCTGGCTTTGTTTAGGTTCACTGTTGACCCACAAACGTTTGTAGGTTGGCATACAAATGGTGAGACTCAGTGACGATGTCGGCGAAACGTCTGGGAATGTACCACGTCCACTGTCCTACTGTGGAAATGATGATACAATGGACTCCGGACTAGGTGTGTTCCTTTAAGTCTTCCTACCAATATGACCGAGTTGCGAAAACAAGGTCAAAAAACTTCTATGGCTTTTTTATTGTTTTTTTTCACTTACCATAGTGGCAATCAGACATTATGCATATGGGAGTTTATATTTTCCTATTATTCTCTAATTTCATCAAGCGATTGTTTTTTGACCTTTCATAACTTTATTTCTAATGCAAATATCCCAATCATTTCCTTTGTGCCCTATCTAAACAGCTCCTTGCCTCAACCTCTCGTCATTCCGTCTCTTCCTCAACTGAGGCTAACTCGTCTCTTAATGAGCCCGCCTCGTCAGATCGCCAGAAGCCTTTCCTGCCCCCAACTGAGTCAGGCCCAGATGCTCAGTGTTCTATTGATCCCACTGGTATCAGCCATTCCCTTCCAGAACTTTCCCTTGACACTATGAATTTCAATCCAAATGATCACATGACTGATAGCTCAGCTCAGTTGTCTTCTCTTCAAGGTTCAACTTGTGCACCTGCTATTACTCCACTGTCGTCCTCTTCAAGCTACCATTCTTCGCATGCACAACACGCACATCACCATCAGCAAAGTGTCCAGCCACAAGCATTTTCTGTTTTCGGCTGCAGTCATTCTTATTACGACCTCTCTCCATCTTATCAGCATACTTATCTTCATCCTTACACTAATCAGCCTGGATATCACCGCGGCAACCAGAACCAGTTCATGCAGTATTTTCTTACAAAATTCTTGTTCACTGAGTGGCAGAACTTTTTGAAAGACTCAGCCCAATGATTGCATTCTTAGCCAAACTCGCTTTCGTCTTTACTTGTGTGTTTCTTTTCTTCACTGGTTTCTTAATTTTATCCTCTCCTTCTTTAGACAACTTTTCATCCCTATTTGGGATACAGCAAGATCTTATTATTCCTGATTCGGTACTTTCCAGTCTTTCTCATTCATCTTTTTCACACATTCACTGTACATAAACAATTTGACTTTCACATATATTCTCGTCTCTGACTGGACCGATTCCCTGAATTAATTTTCTATATAAGACCTCGTCTAATCTTTCGCGTTACATACCTTTTCATCGTTTACTTAAATTTTCGTCATCTCATTCCATTTTTGATCCTCCTACT